CAGACAGACAGACAGACAGACAGACAGACAGACAGACAGACAGACAGACAGGCAGGCAGGCAGGCAGACAGACAGACAGACAGACAGACAGACAGGCAGGCAGGCAGGCAGACAGACAGACAGACAGACAGACAGGCAAAGGAGCAGGAGAAGCAAACAGCGGGTGCAAGAAGCGTCCAGGCTGGTGGTAAGTACTGTGAGAGAGAGACAAGAAGGCAGACAGGTGTCATGAAACTCAAGCAGCCAGGCAGCAAGGCAGGCGATAAGGAAGGCAGGCAAACAGGCTAAAAAGAGTAGGCAGGAAATTGTATAAAATGTAGGGAAAGATCGCATCATTGCAGGTTGTGAGGAGGCATTAATACACACTAGCAGCCGTACTCGGCTGAGCAGCGGTGCTAAATCAGGAGAACCAGAGAAGTGTGGGAGTGTGACAGGGTCTGGAGTCTATTGGGCAGTGGATTGAATTATATATTGCGGGTAGGACAGGAGTCCGGTAGGCGGTGTAACCTGAGAATATACTGTTAGCAGTGCAGATAAAAGTGAGTCCGCAGCCTCAGCGGGGGGCCTCACAGAGGGGCTGTAATATATACATCCATAAAAGCAGCTAAACAAATAAATTCCTTCGACAAAGACGGGGAAGACAACCTTGTGTGTCGTTCTCTGTGTTTGTGTGTGCATATGAGAGAATGTGTGTGTGTAAATGTGCGAGTGACCCGCACATCGTGGCGATGCTTCCTGGAGCACTGACCGGCGTCAGTGCTCCATTAATTAAAGAGACGATGCACTGGCAGGTGGCTTCACTGCCCACACTGGTAATTGGCCCCCTTCTTCCCACTATCTCCCCCTAGAAAATCACCCATCTCTGCCTTTTCTTTTCTCTTCTCTGCCTTGTTCCCTCCTCCTATCTCCCGCTCTCAGAAACGTGCCAGTGGGCAGGCAGAAATGCAAGACTTTGTGAAATAATGATTAGAATGGATGGAGATGAAGGGAAGGGAGTTGCACATTTTCCCACAAGCCTCTGATGGTCGGGGAATGCTGTTTGCCTTCAAGCGTCATACGACGCGACGGGAGTTTACTTTAGACAGCCACAATCTGAGGAGCCAGTACTGCAGTCATTAATGATGCGGGGAGGGGACAGAGCTGTACTTTGACAAGTTTCTGCATGTGTATGTGTTTGTCTGTGTGTGTTTCTCTGTTTGTGTGTGCAGACGGGCGCGATGTGAAAGAGGAAAAATGAACCTTCTGTGTGTCATGCGTAATGAGACAATAAAGGTTGAGAAGCTCCGGAAGGTGTGTGCGTGTACGTATGTGTGCGTATGTGTGCGTATGTGTGCGCGTGTGTGCGCGTGTCTCACCACGTCACTGGGCAGGTTGTGCAGGTCATCAAAGGGACTCTCCAGGGTGTTTGTGTCCACATTCAGAATAACCACATCCTCCAGTGATCGACTGCGTACTCTCTAAAGGAGGAAATGTCCAGTGTCATCAGCAACAGTGCACACGCCGCCACAGTAACTAAAACAACTCGCATCATCTCGCAATATGGAACAAATCTCCAACACTAAATATTATTACGACATGTCCAATTTTGCATTCAGAAGTGTTTATATTATTGACAATATAAAAAATATTTTTTTACATAATCGAATTGAATCATTATTTATTTACAATCTAGCATTTCATAGCAATATATTGTGGTAACTATTGAAAATTGGTAGAATCATGTTTTACATATTGTAATGAACAAAGAACCTGAGAATATAGTTTGGTTAATTACTCAAAAAAAAAGGAAAAAGTGTGGCCCAGGTGTGTTTGGTAGTAGACAAAGTCTTCTCTGTACTGAAGCCCCAGGAAGGAGAAAGCACAGCGGTCACATTTAAAACCACACTGTCATCACACTCCTTTACGATTAACGATGAAATATGGCGCGAAGGAAAAAAATATATATTAGGACATCTTTATTGTAACACACACACACACACACGCTAACAAAATGAAGAATGGCACTGAGAGGAAACATTTGGATTGCGCAAACATTTTCCACAGCACCAAAACCTCATGCATCAACAACAACACAGTGATGCTGTGCTGTGGTGTGTGCATTCTGATGGCGACAAATTCAGCTATTATTTCAGTGTGGCGCAGGATGCAGGCAGGTGTGGGTGGGGAGGTGGGGAGGTAGCATAGTGTGTGAATTTCTAGTTTGTCACTTTTGTGACAGCCTGTGCAGTGGAGGCTCACATGCTGATCTGGACTAATTATGTAGTGGCGGAAAGGGGGTCTGTCACAGATGCAGAGTGTGATAAATACTGCCACTGCTGCAACTGTCAGACAAATATCACACACACACACATACACAAATATATGTGCATTACAACATATGCATTTGCACAATTTACACACACACACACACACACACACACGCTTGCAACATGCATTCACACACAACAGCAGTGCTGGTGAAGGCTTGCCCCCCAACCAACACACAGGGTTTAGCAATGAAGGGGAAAAGCTCTTTGTTCGCAGATGCTTTTTCTGCCTTTCTCTCTCTGTCTTTTGTACTCCTGGTTAAGAATGCACACAAGCAAGACAGGGAGATAAAGAGGGAAAAAAATCTGTCACTTTTTTTGATTCAATGTGTTGCAAATGACAAAAATTGCCGTAAAGAAATATTTTATGCCAAAATTAAGAGCACAATTCACCGAACGAGGTGCAGCATTACACAACTGACCATACATACTGGACAGAGGGAATAAGAGGACTTGACTATACACATTTACGGCATAATTCCTAATGCTATTTGGTTGTTCTTTTTAAGAAAATCCACTGAAATTCATACTGTGTATCTGATGCAAAATAGAAAAAGATCATCATTTAACATTTGATACACAGTACAGTTTTCAAAATATACATCAATTTGCAGCAACATATATAAATATGCACACACAGTATAATGATGTACATTTAAACACATGCACATTCATATGCATACACATACCCAGAGATTAACTAACGTACCTCCAGCAGACTGAGATGAACACCCACAAAGTATGGCATGGGGGCACTGTGGATGGAGAGAGGAAAACAAAGCTGTGAGCAATACCAACATCAGATGGGTACATGTAGTGAGGAAACATGTATAGAGGCTACGCTAGTACAGCACATTTCACCCGTCCATCTGAAAAGTAAACACTGAATGTGGAGGATATTGTTTGATCAACAGATTGTACTTAATCAATATGTTGAAATCTGATTAATCTTTAGTTATTCATCAAGAGATGAACTGGAATAAATGAATGATCAAAAGCTAAGAATACAAGCCGAAACTATTTCTTAAGTAAAATGTATTTATATAAAATGTATCAAATATCATATTTCATCAACTGCTGGAAATAATGTGAAACTACTAGAAAGCAACAGTTGTGCACTGGATGCATTGAAACTAACTAACCTCGCATGAGATAACATAATCGTAACATAGGCAGCAAAACTGATTATCGTCCATATGTTGTTCTCAATCATATCACAGCACAGCCGCTGACTAAAACTCAGACTTCAAAATCACTTCCCCAAGAAATAACATGTGTCTCAAATTGGGAAACAATTAGATTAGGTGTGTGTGTGTGTGTGTGTGCGTGCGTGCGTGCGTGTGGCAGGACAAGTAAATGTATGTAGAGCTACTAATTTTAAAAAGTTACCAGAAAAAAGAGCAAACAAGTTTCTCTTTCATTCTGACTCTGAATATTTTGGATTTTCAAGCATTAACTTGTTGCTTAAAAAGGTTTTGTAAATTCTGTCTAAAACGTTCACCCTCAGCTATCAGTAAGCTTTCATTTACACACAGAAAGAAACGTTATTCTCATGCTAAAACTCTTATTCCTAGCACTATTTATTAGAATGGTAAAAAATAATCTTAACAGTAACGTCAAAAATGCTTTTGCATGACATGTCATAAGGTTTCTAACAAGATGCTGGATTCAGAAAGTAAAGACAGACTTGGAACTCTGTCTCAAAAGCTAAAGGGTAGAAGTGTGAAATGTTTTCATTTTACTCTAAAAATATGCTTTTCATGCTTATTATCATGTAATTCTTGTTTTATGTGATATTTATCTCCAGATTGAAAGTTGGTGGCAAGGAAAGACTGAATCACAGAGTACGTTTCCCATCCACCGAGACCAATACAATCAACAAAAACAGTGAAATAATAGAAACCATTTTTAAGATGAGGTTTCCAGAGGAGGCAATAATCGGATAGCTTTGGGTCAGCGTCGTCCTGGCCAGAATGATTCAGAGGCCACAGGCTTGTAATCAACTTAAAGCTACAGCAAAACAAACAGCAGGCCTGTAGGTCTGAACTTTAGCCGCTGCTGTCTTCTGTTTCATGAATGTACTGGCTTTCAACATCTACACACACAGCATCTAATATAATCTAGTTATCTAATCAGTGCACAGAGGACACCCCTGTGATTAAATAAGATAACGATGAGTCTTCACAGAGTGTTGAAAATTACATTTTACTGTCAGTGATGAATAGCTTTTTGAAGCTGACGTGTCCCTCATGGTTAAAGCACTGTACCATATGTGCTATCGGCACTGATTCGACAAAAGCTTCCTTTCTCACTCTTTTCTTACATGTACATATCTGAAGTTGATATGAACACATGTAGATTTGTAAATGAGCTGATGCTCTCCAATAGAGTCCATTCAGATTACTTGGATTTGAGTTGGATGGGTGGTAATGAACCCCTGTGAGGCTTACGATGATGCGAGTTAGGCGCTAGCACTGGCATGAAATATGGAGCAAGGTGATCCGGGTCGTTCGTTATGTCGAGGGGCCACACAGGAGAAGGCGCACACCGAGAGGAACCGTGAGAACGACTCGGAGAACGGGCGGGAGAATGTGAGCATGTGTGTCTGCACTTTTACACCGAGGTTTTAGCAACAGAGCCCGGTGCATGACCAGCACACACGGCGTGATGTGCGATTACATGTCTATACTGTCAGGTATGTGTGTGAGCGTGCATGTGTGTGTGTGTGTGTGTGATTTAGAGAGTGGCTGGAAAAGAGAGAACGAAGAAGAGAAAAGATGGGGGTGTAAACATGTATTATGATGATCCTGATGGTTTTCTTGTATGTGTGTGTGTGTGTGTTGCAGAGGTGGTCAGCCTTACCAGCAGTAGTCCAGAAGATGCGGGGGCAGTACAGGGATGAAGATGTGCTGCCAGTACATAGGAAAGAGCAGAGCAGCTGCACCGTGGACACATGCAGTTAACTACAGAGAGGGAAAGAAGCGAGACATACTCAACACAACTTTCCAAGGCAACGCTAAAACTAAGAAAAGCAAAGACATTTCTATGCTATATGTTTACTGGTAATTTCAATTATTTGTCAGTCTCAAGATTCAGCCCACAGAAAGAAGTAGAAACAGTAGAAAATATATTTGAAAAAAATACTGCTGGTCTCCTTTTCTTTCGTGTTCATTTCTTTAACTTATTCAAGTAAGTTTCTACACAACTAACGTCCATCGAAAAAGTCTAGAGAACAGCAGCTCTATTTCCTTCTGAACAATATTCTGTTTATTACAAATATAGGAGGTCTGATCAAGGTTGCTGCTGTGGTGATGCTTTGTGTTAAAATATGTCTGATTTCATTGAGTTAGCTTTTAATCTTGCTCACAGACAAAAGCACTCGGAAAAAAAAACGCGGTGCACCGACATGTCTGGTGCTGTTGTGATGAACACGACCTGCGAGCTATTGTTGGAGGAAGAGAAGAACAGACTGAGAGCTGAAGATCAACCAGTTGATAGGAGCCTTGTCTTAAACACATGACAGAAACACAGCAGAGGAGAGACAGATTGATGAGGAGGTGAGAGGGAAAGTACCGAAAAGACTGACATGAAGAAAAGGCAACACATGCTTTACACACAGGGAACATGAAACCACTGTTTCCTCCATATTGATTCATTTGTGGCGGGTCATCACTGCAATAATATTGCTGCTTTTGCACATTGGCATTGAGACATTTTAATAAAAAAAAAAAAGAATTCAAAGCACAGATTCTAACCTGTTTTTGCACACAGAAATGAGAGCAAATACAAGCCCAGTGCTCATAATTAACCGCTTTTAAATTCAATGTCAATGTGAGAATTGTGCTGCGACCAGCACAAAAACAACAAAAGGAGCCCAAAAACAGTGCTGACAGTAATCATAAAAAAAATCTGAATTACACCAACTAGTATGACTACCAAATTAAAGAGAAAATAAGCCCTTTTTCAACAAATAATGAGAAGCAATCACATGAAGATGGCATTCCTTTTCAAAGGAGCTCTCTACATTGTCAAACAAACATTACACATAAAATTAAAGTCATTGTCTCCCATTGTCTTAAAACCAGAACCCCCCTCTTGACATCCCGTCTCATGAAAACCCAGATATAGTAATGACCTGCAACACACACACACACACACACACGCACACAGAGAGAGACAGACACGGCAGGAGAAAGAGGCGTTAGCTCATCCCCCAGATTAAAATAACATGATTAAATATGGAAAGAGAACAGAGGTCTGAGGGGCTCCTGCGGGACTTCATTAGGGCAAATTGCCAAAGAATGAAACATGAGTTAGCCAAGAGAGACTGCGGGCTAGGCCAATACCGCCGGGACCCTCGGAGCAGCAGCCGCCGTTATACTGCTGCAGCTTCACAGTCAATGTGTGAAGCGGACACACACTATCACACACACACACATGCACGCACAACTACCAGGAGACCCCATGCTCACTCACACATACACAGTGTCACAATTGACCGGCCAAAAGCGGATGAGCTCGGCAACTGAAACCCACCGCGGCCAGAGAAAGAGGAAGAGAGCCCCACCCTCTGAATGCACCTGGACATCAACACCGGACATCTGAAAGGCTTAAAACAAAAAGTGTGCGTTTGTGTGTGCGTGTGTCCATGTGCATCCCTCCCTGCATGTTTGTTTTAACTGCATTCATTTTTCATATCGGCTGAAAAGAAAGAGCCAATGATCTTTTTTTTTTATTGTCTGTGCTTTTCTCTCATGCACCCAGTCCCACAATAGTTAGGACTTAATCAACATTTAATTGGTGTCTTGCTCCGTGTATCTGCATATGCATATTCCCGCTGCATGCCGTCTTCAAATAAAACAACAATGCCACGCTCCTGTCAGGATTAATTCCCTGGCAAACAGTTTGTTTTTTTGCTAATTCTGAAAATAAATCAATGCTATGAATATTAATGTCTGAAAGTGAGGCACTTGGTGGAAGAGCTACTAACAAAACCATCGCACCCTTCTCCCTTTTCCAAAGCGATGACGGTAAGGGGCCATTAAATTGTGATGAAGAGAGGTCAGCAATCCGGCTGTGGATATACATACGCACACTGAGCGGAGCGCCAACAGGCGAGTGTATTCCTCCTCTGGGAGTGCAGACAAGCCCCAGTCATTCACTGGTACCAGGAGGTAATGGCACAGAACACCTCGCTAACCAACTCCAATTATCTCCACCAGGCCTCAAGGTGAGCCCCCCAACTGGCATGATTTACTCTCAGGTTGAAAGGGAAAACAGGAGTCTCTCTCTCTCTGCCTCTCTTCTTCTCAGGCTGGGTGGCTGTGTGTGTGTGTGTGTGTGTGTGTGTGTGTGTGTGTGTGGGGGGGGGGGGGGTACTGATACTAAGATAATGATTTATATGGCAAAATCTAGATTTCTGTTTACTTTTATTTGCTATCTACAAAGCAATGGAGGTGGCAGTGTGCCTGAGATAAGGCATTTGGAGGGAGCTCCAGAGGAATAGTTCACATATTTGCTTCTCTAATTCAGCTTAATAGAAAGCTCCGTGTCCTTGTTCAGGTTTTATAACGAACAAGGCAAAAAGTAAAAAGGAATCTAAACTGGAAAAAAGAGAAATCGTACCCCTCGTTCTTTTTCTTCATTTAGAGAGGGGGGGCTTCACATGAGAGTGGGTCATGAGAGGCTAAGGCTGATAAAATATTTGCCAGGCTGATAAATAATAGATGAGTGGAGCCAAATGGCTTACACGCTCCACAAAAGACCTGGGTGCTTAATATTCCATTCAATGGAGAATCACAGATACAGTCCCCAAGAACAAATACAGGATTAGGTGCTGGGTCCAGTCCTCAGGGACCAGGGCTCTGCCCTGTAATGAGGGGCTGCCTGCCTCTTACACTGTGTGTGTGTGTGTGTGTGTGTGCGCGCGCGTGGGTGTGTGTGCGCGCGTGGGTGTGTGTGTGTGTGTGTGCGCGTGGGTGTGTGTGTGTGTTTCCCCCTTCCTCTGAGAGAAGCTAACCGATTATACAGCGACAGCCTGCTTCAAAAAGCAGTCAAGGTCTTTGGTTCTGCCCCGAGAGCTTTTTTTGGTGCGCTGTAGCCGAGACAGAAAGTATCCACACTAACACTGGTTTTCCAAGATCCATTCAATGGGACTAAAGGAAGGAGAGACAAAAAAAGAGAGAGGGAGAGAGGATGACGTGAAAGTGGGAGAAGAAGAAAGAGAGAAGTGAAGAGATAGAATTTGCAATGCAACTTTGAAGTAGGTAGCAATCAACTTAAGCTAAGAGGTCACACGACCAGTTTTGTCAATAATGGGGTCTGAGCGTGAGTCAATCGCTGTGTCCCATTCAATACAACATACTAATAGTATACAGGAAGAACTACCCAATGTCTAAGCATACTGTTATTTGCAGTTATTATGAAAAAAAACAGCATAATCAGGATATGAAACAATGTGTGTGACGTCAATCAAACTGGGACTTTGGTATGTCACTACCAATTAAACTTCACAAATAGACAAAATGTTTTTCAATCATTCAACAGTAAACGTTTCTGCTGTGTTCACAAAGCTGTTTTACCACCATCTACAATTTGTTTTAATACTTTCCAGCTGTGAGCAGCTCCCCCATTTCCTCTGTGAGTTGCATTGTGGGAAAATAATGTCCATCAGCAGCACAGTTTCTTTTTTTAAAGCACACTTGTTTGATTTACTGAACTATATCACTTCTGCACAGTGAACACACCACATTGTACCCTGCTTAGAAGTAGTATGTAGTATGGAATAGGGATTCAGCTAATGCGTTTATTTTCTGCAAGGAATTAACAAAAAAAGCTGAATTATGACACAGACCTTTACACAATAAAAAATTTAAAAAAGACATGTGAGCAGAAACAACAACTCTCCATATTCATACACAACTCTTCAACACGGATGTTTCCCTAAAGAGCCGGACCCACCAGAGACCTCAGATCTTCTCAACACTGCAACTCTGAGCTCTGCAGACTGTCAGTAAGCTTCCACCTACACCATTCCTCTTTACCTGAGCAACTGAACATGTTGAAGTGAAACACAGACAGAATATGGAGAAACTGCTACTGTGGGGGCCTAGATACACCTCGTTCGCATATATTTCATATTAAACGGCAGTCTTATGGAGATTTTACTGGACTGAGGACATAACGCTCACTCCCTCTGCTTAGATACTCTTAGATGAGGGAATCTTTCGCACATGTTAAATTACAGCGAGCGCAGAGTGTGAGACAAATAGCTGCTGCTGCAGGCAATGTAATTCAATTTGACAGGAGGAATGGTATCAACAGAGTCGCTCTTGACCTCTTCACACCAGCCTCAAACACTCATTTCCCCTCCACTAGCCTTTCCTTCCAACTCCGTCCCTACGCACTCTCCAAATTCAATCCTCTCTTCTCCTTTCCCAGCCTCATTTCCATTCTCGTTTCTTCATTCCTTATTCCGTTTTCCTCCTCTCATCCTGCTGCCTTCTGTCCATTTGCTACCCATCCCTCCTTTCTCCTGTTGGTTTATCGCTGTGTTAGCCTTCCCCCCTCCCCTCCCCTGCACAGAGTAAGTCACCAATTACGCGCGCTCTGCTTCTCCCTCTGTTGACAAACGCCGGTGTCAGGCCCGGCACAACGCAGGTGTGCCACAAACAAGTAGGTGGCACAGGGAGAGAGAGAGAGGGCACACGGGACGACACAGGTAACGGCTAACGCCATGCCTCCCACACATGCACACACAGCCACCGACTCGACACAAGACATAAGGTACAAACACCTGTGAGCGCAGAAGACACACAAACAGATGCATGCGAAAGAGACACAAACACCCACAGCATGCACACGCACACAGCGGCACAAGTCAGACACATGGCATGGGCCTGAGATAAGTCTATCGAGGACAAGGATGTCCCGATGTTCTGCAGATGCCCCACAACAGAGAGACGCATTAAGACACCCAGGAAGAGGGAGGCAAAGTCAGAGAGAAAGAGAGGTGTAGCCAGGGTGAGTGAGAGACAGATGGACAGAAAATAATAATGTCAGCGAGGAAGAATAACTTAGATAGAGAGAAAGCAAAGAGACGGAGAGAAGTCATGGAAAGAGAGGAGAAGAAGAACAGAGGAAAAGGCAGGAAACAGAGAGACAGCTGGCACTCTAGGGCATGGTGGATGGATAGTTCCTTGTTAGCATAGGCCTGACAGGCTGATGAGAGGGCTGCTGTCAGCCGGTGCTGGGGCCGGGCTGTGTGAGTTTGGGCGATAGGCAGGGCAGAGGCTGGGCTCGAGAGCTGGGGGGCCTCGGCAGATGAAAGACACGGAGGGTGGTGGGGCGATGGTGGTGGGGGTCCTCCCAACTGACTAGTTAGAGGAAGGGCCGATGCAGCCCTATTATACGGCCCTATGACAAGGCTGCACGCTCGGCTGGCTCCCGCTCCAGCGCCACCGCCGACCAGCCTTTTAAAACAGTGGTACCATTCACCTCCGGTCACGAAACAGCAATAAGTCAACTGACGCATTGTTGTAAGATCATGATTTATTCCTTTGCTGTTGGCTGCTTGCGAGACGCGCCGGCCATGTACCGGCAGACTGACACACTGGGTTCACCGGGGGGGGGGGGGGGGGGGGGGGGCTTTAACACAGGCAGCACCTAGAGCAGGCAGAATAAATGCAGTATATCTTTGTGTGTCTTTCTCTCTCGCTTTCCACTTTCTCTTTGCTCGGCTGAGAGGCTGGACAGGCGGAGGTGGTGAAAAGCAGCTGGATGGTACTAACGATGTTACTAACAATACCTTCTCTCATACATCCTCTATCTGTGGCAAGCAGACTAAAGAAGCATTATCTGTCTATTCAGTGACTGCTACACTCACTTTCACAAACATTTTGACAAACTGTGACATTAATTATATATTTCCCATCTTAAGATATTTGATCACAAGGCAGTGGTGTAGATAATGAGCTGGGCTTTTTGCTCTTAAGCATGTATACACTTAGATATCTGGCCTACAGAATCATGGCAGAACTAGGAGGTCATTCTACCCAACAGCAAAAAATAACGCATCACAGGAGCAGTAATAACATCAGTCCTGCTAGTAATCCCAGTGGAGATGTGAAAATACCTTTGTAATGCAGTGCCTGACATGTATTGCTACCAAACCAAAACACCTCTTCCTTGAGGAAGATGGATGGATAGACAGATGAGTGGATGAAGGATTGCGGAGGATAAAAAAGGTTTACAGGGGTAAAGGTCTGACGTGGAAGCTCTTAAAAAATCCTGTCGACATAAATTTGTGAAAAAAAAACAAGCCAAGATTAGTCTCCGAGCTGCAGAAAACTATAAATCACAGACAAATATCGCCTCCACCCCCTCTTCCTGATAAAAAGAAAAACACCTTCACCCTTGAGTCTGATAATTTACATCGTGTAACCCTGGTGTCACAGCACAGTGTGCAGCCTAGACCCCGAGCACAGTGCTGCTGGTCTGAGGAGCTGAGGGGAGACAGGTGATATTCTCTGAGGGCTGGGTCATTTTTTTACAGCTCTTTCTGAGTGTAGATCCTATGGGACACCTTGGGTATCGTTCCCTCCAGCACCCATCATCACCCACAGGCCCCTCCGGCTGTTCAGTGTTCTCCAGCCTTGTAGATACCAAGGCAGGACCAGCTACACTACAGATACAGAGAGGACTTGGATGACATCACTTCCCTCTCCCATCTCATCTGTCATAAACATTTGGCTCTGCCTCATCAGCCACATAGATAACAGGGGGGGTTGGAATGAGGAACAGAGGGAGGAAGAGGGGAAGAAAGACACAGAGAGGTCTCCTCCCTCATACAGACAGAAAGAAGGGACTTTAAATTATGTGAGAGAGTTAAGACATGTAATAACGGATAATTTAAGGCTTTTTGGCCGTTAATATGTTGCAGCTTTAAGACAAACAGTCAGATATAATCCAGCTTTAGTGTGGATTTCACAGCTTGTCAGAGTGTGGTGATAGTGCGGCTGTCTGAGCGCAGGACGCCCGGGCAAAGAGCGGTGTGGGGGGGGCCAGACAGATCTGTACATGTAGCGTAGCCATGTCAGATAAATATTCTCATCGTATTAATTGGGGTTTGATATCCTGCTGGATTATTGATGAAGAGAATCATGTTCAATCTCGGAAACATTACAGCGATATACTTCTTTTTAAGAGGGCACATCGGTTTCTGAATTTGTAAAGAAGCCAAAAATAGCAACCGTGACTCTCCATGACTGCAAATTAGAAAACAAAGTGAGATAGCCAACATGAACCCTACATTACAAAACATGACATTTTAGGACTGAAAGTTTCCCCTCAACTTGAATGCAATGTTTAGGAAACTCGTCCTTCATGTGGTTGCAGTATTTGTTTTCTAACCTTGTGCCTGACAGGGCAGAGCTGATAACTGACTGCAGCTTGAGAGAATGACTTGGAAGGAATGGACTCACAGTGCTAAGCTTGGTTGAGGTAATGATGATGCGCCGTTCATGCAGCATACTGGCGTAGAGCTGGAGCATGTTGTTGACATCCACAGCCACAAAGTACTCTGTCAGGTTCCTCTGGAGATAGACAGGAACAGAGGGATGTGCAGGTTCATAACAAACTGTCCTTGTTTACAGTAACGTGTCAATGCTACAGACAGTGAGAGCGCCAGAGTGTGCTAAAAAAGAGATACACACAGTACTGGCTGTAAAATAACTTGGACTTCAATCTCGGCAGATGTTTTTTTGCAGCAAAATGTTAGAGAAATACAGTAAATAGTAATGTTCGAAAAAGTGTCAATCAATGTTGCTTGAATTTGTCAGATTGATAACTCATAAAGACAGTGGATGCTCCGTGCTTGAGCTACAATTTGAATACAAAATTTAAAAAAAAAAAAAAAAAAAAAAAAAATGGTGTTTAATTTGAATCCTCTAATGCCCACGACGATCACTGAACTACGACATTAAAAGTACAAGCACCACAGGAGATACAACTGAAACAAAAGGATGATGCAATGATTTCAAAAGGTGACAAGTGTATTTGATTAAAAAACGATTAGAGGCGAAGATGTTTCCAGAAGAAAACGCATCCCTCTTCAACTCCTTTTCTTTTTCCTTGAATACTTACGCTCTCAGGGATGGTTGGCAGTCCATTGATATCCGGGGCGATGAAGTAGGAGTGCTGCGAAAACACAAACACGCAGGAGAAAGAAGAGAGGAGGTCACCAGTGAAGCATACCACTCACACAGAAAAGAATAAGGGGAATAGGGGGGGGGGAAAGGCCGTTCACTTTGTTCTATGATTTATGGCTCATCTTCAGCTCTGTCTATATGAATTGCTGAGCTGGTGTCTGAACTGTGGCAATGCTTTTATCAGGCCTGCAGAACAGAGAAAGCTCAATAGCAGCTCAGCTCCCCATAGACACAGACTGGGGTGATGTCTCCGGTGGAAAACTGAGTCTTTATTTAAGCATTAAAAAGGCTTGGGGAGCACCAACACACATACAACAGTATGTGCACATGTGCATCCACACAGACACACATACACAGGGACACTCACACACAGGTTGTTTAGAGGATCACAGGGCTGCCTGTCTCACTTTGGGAGAGCAGGGCAGGTTCAGTGTTCAGATAAAAGGGGCCTGAGAGAGGTGGTGTTTGGAGACAGGTAGACAAAGCATCAACTGAAACACACCGTTGTGTTTCTCACACACACACACACACACACACACTCTCCTGTATGCTTATTACACCTGCGTTTCTCAAAGCCTTCACTCTACCATCTGTTGCAGGTAGTCGCTTAAATTGTAAATGTAAATCATGTAAATATAGCGCCTACAGTAGATGCTTGCACAGTATTTAAAATGTTAAAATGTATTTAATCGTCTAAGACTTCTCAGTGTTTAAACTTGTGACCACTATTTAATTTATTTGTGATGCAAATCATCGAACAAATAATGTCTAATATGGGCTTACACACACAGTCAGTGTGTTGTTTGATGTGTGGTCCCTGTGGCAGGAAGACTGACATCCAACACCTGAGAGTTGGTGGCAAAACAGCAGTGCAGCCGAGACTTACGTCTGATTAGGAAACAATCTGCACTTTGAAAGGAGCTTTGAAAGGAAGAAATGCTAAATAGGAAAAAATAAACGCCTTAAACAGAAGACAAAATGACAGTAATGCATTACATAACAATACAGTTAAGAGTATGCAAACATAAGAGGAGTCATTCAGAATCAGCAACCCCACCGTAAGCGTCACCACCAAGAAGGAAAGATGTGAAAGCCCGTCACAGTCAGACAGTAAAAATGTAACAATGGAAGAATATTAGCTTAATGTGCTGAGCAGGGTCGTGACAATTGGACTTGATTCTGTGCTATTTTGAGCAATGCTGGGTTAATCATGACATTGTTCGCTAACTGATTCAACAATGTCTAGGAACTACAATGTTTCGTGAGCACATTTATTATATAAAGTGCTGCTGGTCAGTTTTGTTTCTGGTGACCTACACAATTTCTCAAAATGATTTATTCATAAAGGGATTTATAATAACATTACCATGAGAATTACAGAATGATGCTTCTTAGTCTTAAGTGACAGTGTTTGAGAAAACATTGACCGACTGTAAGGATGAAGAAAAAGCAATGGCAGCACATAACTTTGTCTGCAGTTGACATTGGACCATTCAGTTGAATGTAAAACAAACTAAAATGTTTCACCTCTAAGTGCATTAAGTAGGAAAAATGTGAAAATAATTATGAGTAAACGAGAGTCATATTCCCAGAGGACGATTGTTGTAGTCAAGCGAAGCTGAGAGGAGATGAACATGCAGCAAACATTCTTTGCCTTTTGAGGGTTTTTTTTTTTTTTTTTTTTACAGGCAATGATATTGTTTTTGAGCATAAGCAACTGCCACACACCCTTCTTCATGGCAAGTGACTTTCTTTAAACGTTTGAATTGCTGCGGCCATATTTGCATGCATATTATGGACAGCTACCACTACACCTTAACAGAGTATCTACAACAAAACATAATTGTTTACATGGCAGTGAAAGACAAAAGAGGAAAACATATGCAAGGAAAGCATTGGTTATACTAGAGCAGATGCCCTCTTCCACTGTTTCCTGTTTTCAACAGCAGCAGGCAACATACAAACATTAAACACACAAGTGCATTTTATGTTAAAAATATGAAGGTTTGGCAGATTAAAAATTTCAAACAGAAGCCAACCTGTTGTTCTGTAGCAAGACAATGCTTTTAATGTGCTTATTCTAATGACAGCTACTGTATGTTGGTGAATTTTGATGCGTTGAACGCTGGTGGTTTGTTTGTGGTTATACTGTACGAAGCAGAAGTAGTAGGAGCAGAAGTTAGCATTGCAGCTATTAATGCTACTACACCAGTAATTGCAGCCATCTTCTATCTCACGGTCATAATAAATGTTGCCATTGTAGGCTTCTGCAAACCAACAGATGAATTTAAAGTTGATGTTTCTGAACCAAAATTATATTTCATAAATATGTTTATCATATATCATATATCAGCCTCGTATCACGCTGACACAAACGCTCACTGACTCATGGTTAACGTAGTGAAACGATATTCATATATCAGTGGTTTACAGAAACGTACGATGCCAACATTTTTCCTGGCAACTTTATAAAACACAAATACATAGCAACTTATACAGAAACACTTGTGTACAACTTTTACATTATTTACACTTGAATGAAGTCAAACGTTTCACAGTGAACCTCACTGAATCTTCACTTTCCAGTGGCACTTAAAGAACTTCTTAGTTTTTGTAAAATAATTAAATGAAGACAATAGATCACAAAAATATACATTTGAATGACTGTTATTCCTATAATACCTTATTAATTAACTCTCACTCTTACATTGGTATACAATGAAGGTACAGATGAGCGGAGTTCTGCTTCCACCTCATTCCTAACCTGCTGTGCCATTTTTCACTTTACATTGAGCTGAATGCTCCACCGCCTATAATCTTAGATATCTTTATAAACAATACTGTACGTGGGAAGGGAAACTTGTTCATAGTTGACTGAAAAGACGACGAGAAATAGAATAATTGAAATGAAACAAAAAAAACAATTGTAACTGAACAAATAAAATTGCAATCAAAGATCAGGGACATCTGAGGCACAAGCATACATAGTTACTAAAGTATACTGTAAATCTCTCCGTCTCTCTTTTTCTGTGCTCTGTGCGCTAAATAATGTTTCCCTGTTGGTCGACCATTTCATGGCACTGTGATAATCACAAGCCATGCTCCTCAACACAACCCGGGCTTTCATTGGCTGTTTTGCTTGCTTATCTGCATTTTTCTTTTTCTTTCAAAGACATGTTTGGTTAAAAATATTGAAAGTGGGTTAACTGGAAATGCATCAAGGAGACTTTTTGAGCACAATTGCCTTTGCTTTAAACATAAAGAGGGGAAAAAACTTTTGATATTCAGAGAGAGAATATCGCAGTGTGGAATGGCATTAATCATTTACAAAGTTTGATTGTTTTCCAGAGAAGAAGAAACATACACCGAGGCCCAGGATAGTTTGTTTTTGTTATACTTAAAAAAGATAGCGCAGCTTATTTGGCCAAATTGGAAAGCCGTTGCTCCCATGCGATTAGTGCAGCAGCGGTTTCATATTTCACAGCAGCCTCCTTCCCTCCTCCCGTTTCTGCCGTTCACTCATTCCCCTCCACTCACCGGCTCCTTGCTTCGCCGATCTCTCAGTACTTGCCCAGTGGCAATATACAACTGCTCATTCTTGCACAATGAGAGAGGGAGATAGAGAACAAAACAGGGTTCACACATGAAAGGGGACAATGATCCTTCTTCTTGGCTGCCACGATAAAACAAAAAAACACATCTTTAAGGGAATAATTTGGCTTCATCAATTAAATATCAAACTCGTGGCTTCTCCAGAAGAGACATGGAGCCTTCACCTCTGTTCTCCGGGGCTTCTTTTCCAATGAAGCTCCGAGATGCAGATGAAAAGATTTTGTTCACACACTGTTCATATACAGCTGATAAAAAAAGAAAAAAACTGACGCAAAGAAAAAATAAATCACAAGGAATATTAATTGACCGTGTTAACCTTCATATAGATATATTGATTATCTCATAAAAGTCTTGTTATGTTGTAGAGTCATCTGTGTAATTAGATGTGTATCCTTCTGAGACGTACGCCACAGAAAAGACCCAGAGCTGCTTTTTTTTTTTAATTGGTCCAAAAAAAGGAGCAGAGGTCCTCGAGGACAAAGGCGAACGCTGAAATTCTTTTGATCCCATTACTGTGCGGAGTCTAAGCAACTCGAAACTAAAGACATTAGTGAACAAAACATTACGCGTTTAAGCAGTATATATAGTCCCCCCCCCTATATAGTCCAGGCTTATGTGAGCGAACTCTGCTCAAGAGTGAGTGTTTTATGTCGGAGCTGGAAACGCACAAGGAGAGATTGTGTCAGAGGTAACACTAACACTGGCTGACTTTGAGGGACCCGGGCTCGTTAAGCCATTTCAGTTTTTGATAAGCAGGAGACATGACGAGTTGTGAAAGGACCCGTCCAGTTTAAACATGTGCGGCTCTGGCTTATCACACAAAAACCTGTTAGCGCCACTTCTTGTTTCCAAACAGAGTGTCAGTCCGGGGCCCTCTGTGTCTCGCTCTGTTCCTACCGAGTGTATCTTAACCTCCTCCTGCTCTCCCCTCTCTGTCTGCTCTGTTGTTCCCTCATTTATCTCGTCCATTTCAACCTCTGTTTACTCGATCTCTCCCTGTTTCTGCCTGTCTGCCCTATTTTCTTTCAGTCAGTTTTTATGCCATCTATGTCTCCTCCTCTCGTCTTTGTGTCAATTTCATTGTATTTCTCATTATTCCTCCCTTTGTCCCCACTTTTTTTCCTATTGCCTGTGTTGTCTTTATTGTCTCTCGCTCTACTTTTGACTTCTTTAGCCAACATCTCTCCTCTTCCTTTCTACAGTCTCCTTCCTGATGCAACACACTACTGCAGTAACCTACCTGTCCCCCTTTCCCTCCTTCTAGCTCGACTCTCAGCTGTCTTGCCTCTGATAAGGGGGAATATGAGATCTATACCTACCACACTCAGGTTGACTGGCGTGAAGGGCTTTGGCACAGGCAGATCATAGAGAGAATTCAGCATGTCATTCAAGTCATTTTCCTGGGGGAGAGAAACAAACAAAAGAAAAAAAAATAAACACATAAAAACATGGGACACATGAATTTTATTTACTTGTTTTGTTGATGTCACGATGTTATGTGTCAATCTTAACAACGGCGCTGGGACAGGCGCTGGTGCAGACCAGAGGGCAATCCTGCAGCGAGGCCTGAAGGGCTCCAAAACTTCCGACTGACATATGTTTAACGAGCAATGGTGAGGTTAAAAGACGGCTGAGTGTAGGGGCTGCAGACGCTTATTATCCGGCAGCGTTGATTTACGGCCAAGAGCGGGCTGTCAGTAATTAAGCAGGTGTCCCCGCTCCAAAGACAGGGTCTTTAAGGAGCCGTCAGAGAGCGCTAGCTTGACCACAGAAACAGGCCGAGAGATTATTCTCCCAGCATTTATGAGCTCTGCGACAAGATTAGTATTTACACTCGGGGCCTCTGGCTGGAGAACTGAAAAAACAACAGTTTGCAACTAACTACCGTGAACACAGCGACGGCGCTTTGTTGTTTGTTTTAGATTCTTTTTCTATTCGCCCTCTCAGAGAACTTAGTTTTGGCTTTCGAACCGTGCCTTGTTTGAGGACATGAGTGTATATGTATGCTCGAGCCAGAAGGAAATAGCAACTCGAGAGGAATGGGCGGCAATATACAGTAAGAGAAGGAGAAGGGTGGGAGGGAGGGGTTGTGTGCAATCGAACAGCCTCCTGTCATGAGAGGCTCAATGCTCACACGCATGGTCAGCAACACGGCCTGGGGAAACAGTTCATTTACCCCTCGCCTTAAACCCTCATCGCTCTTCTGTCTTCCCTCGTCTGTCAACATCTCCCTCTCGCCCGGAACGGACAGCGGGGTAAATAGAAACCAAATCATGCACACTAACACTTCAGTCACCCAGGATTTCCACCAATCTTTCCGTCTCTCTCCTCCTCACTCACTCTCTCTCTCACACACACACACACACACACACACACAGGTCTATTCTACTCGTCTGGCTCTCTCTATATTTGACTATCCCGCCTCTCAATCACATTAGTGTGAGTATATGTTGAATGGTTTGTGATTGTCTGCTTTAGCAGGCCTCTCTGTCCTGATCATTGCTCTCGAAGGATGTTGGAAGTAGCAGCGACTACATGACAATTGAAAGCGGTCCCAAAGCTCTCTGCATCTCTCCCTTGCTCTGCCTCCCTCCCTCCTCCTCCTCCTCTTCTTCTTCTTCTTCTCACTTCAGTCTCAACGTGGGAACATCACCTACACCCTCTGTGCTAGACGCCGCACATCTCCCCAGTTTGTTGAATATTTTACATTTCCCCTCCCTTTGCTCGTACAATGCAGTGAATAGTCAGGGGAAAAGACTTTTGTGAAGTGCGAGCATTGTGTATGTTTGTGCATGTGTGTGTTTTTTTGTTAACGATTTGTTTTCCAGTAAATCATCAGGAATAACTTCCAGTGTCAGATCAGCATTTGGTCTGTGAAATGTCAACATTGTTGCTGCTAACAACAGGCGCCAAGTGGAGCCCAAGACGGTGAACAAAACTTGCACACAAAAGAGAACATGCAGAAGAAGAACATGGAGGAAAAATATTTCACCACGGTACACTTTCAAAAACATTAAACTGTGCTTGTTTCCCAGTCAAATCAAACCACCATGTCTTATTTCTCATGTACGTACCCTGCAACACACATACACATACAATTCTAAATACCTCCCGAGGAGATGATTACCTGTTGTTTTGTTAGGTAGTCTGCCAGAGTATTTAGCAACTTGTAGTAGATTTCAAACCATGGTAGATAACTGAAAGAGTCAGAGAGACAAATGTATTAATGACAATGTTTTCATTCACTTTATCATCTTCTTCAATAAACAAACGGAACAAAAAGATTTAGTCTCCTGAAAATGATTTGTGTTCTCTTTCTTTGCCCATCACAATGCTAAGGATGCTGAGCCAATGGGGAGGGCAGAAAAAAACATTCTTCAATAAAAAAAACACCACAGCTTTCGTGTGATGTGGAGGGATGCTAAGGTTTACAAGCATGCTGCTCACAGATGCACAGGGTTAACTAAATGCAGCCCCCCCCCCCTCCCCCGTCCTCCTCCTCCTTCTGCCCCTCTCTGTTTCTTCCTATGCCCTTCACATTAAAAAAAGAAATCTTTTCCTTATGCAATTAATGTTAAATACATAATTTCATTAACACGCTCAAAATAATTTATGCTGCAGTGTTTGTGTTAAAGCTAATGACTGAGCACACCCACCATAAGCTAAAAGCATCTGCAGCGTGGCTTTCTTTACAAAGTTGACATATTCTTGGCCAAGTCGACTTGCTTTCTAGATGGAAGATGGCCAACATTTTCTTTTGGCATAAAAGAGGGCTCAGTTCATTTAATGTTATGCAATCAATAATAATAAAAACACGGTGTCCTGTCAATGTATTGAATTTTTATTTAGTTTGGGGTTTTAACATGCAGTTTTGAACACTGCATGAATAATGATTCCAGATAAGGACTTCTTAGCATTACGATGAAATAAACAGAAACTCCCATAAATGCTTCATTAATTTGCCTGGATGCACGGTTGGAAAATAAATTAGTGGCAAAATGAGCCAATCAATCAAAAGTGGATTCTTATTTGCTCACCAATCTCAGCGAGTATTTCTTAATGTCAATAAGTGAAAACGGTGGACAATACAAGTCATTTCAGTCAAGTTAAAAATCTGACAAAGAGCTTACATCTGCAGTTTCTTAGTTATAATACATTATACATGTGTCAGAGTGAAGCTTTGACCGCGTGCGAGTTTATAAGCCAGTGAAGTCCTGCTTATGCAATTGGCTGGAGACTGAGGAGTTTCCAGGGCATGGGTCACCGGCTGCTCTGTAGACTGGAATTAACAGACAACAAGAAAACAATAAAGTGAACCTAATGCAAATTTTCATATCGCTAAATCCGCGAGGGGCCAATGACAGGGCAGGTTCCCGGAGAAGTGCAGCCGAGCGCACCAATCAGAGAGGCCGAGTGACCATTAGCCTGAAACAATCAGCCTCTTAACATGCCAATATTTTGACGTCTGTGTGAAGATTTAACGCAATCAGGTCACATTCGCAGGAGAGCCTAAATTCAAACATGCGTATGTTAATTCACATGCTGACCGGATATCAAGCTTGAAGACCCATTTCTGCCAGGACAACACAAATATCTGCATATGGGGTCAGTTTACATTTAGCAATTACACAAAAAGTTCAGTTGATAAAATGACTTAACGGGGGAGGGCAGAGCCTTTGTATTATCTGCCTCCCGTATGTGTGTGTTTAAAAAGCCAGGCTTCTGGACATTAATCCTTCATTTTTCACAGTTGAAGGGGATGTAAATAGGAGTCTTGCTGTCAGGGAAGCCGTCAGGCCTCACAGATCTCACAGTCATTACACTCCTACACCAAGGTGCTGTAAATCCTTTGTTTTAGAGGAAAACGCATGATCGCTGGTGAAGGCAGCCAAGCACAAATGATCAATATTCTTATAACATCTTCCTGCAATAAGTAATGTCTTTTCTTGCTTTATTAAAATGCAATAGAATGAATATAACTTAGAGATGTATTGTTTTGTTCTACTTATCCCTCCCCCCCTGCTCTGCTCTCTCTGTTGATGCAAAGTTAAAGTTTGGAAAGCTTAGAGAGATACTCCTACTCATCACAGTTCATTGCTCAGATCTGTTTGTGCTCCGCAAATCCTCCGATAGAGAGGGAGAGAGGGAGAGAGGGAGAGAGAGAGAGAGAGAGAGAGAGAGAGAGAGAGAGAGAGGCATCCATCACAGCAGTGCTCAGTGTGTGGGGGCCCTACAATCTCTCCTGCCATTTTAAACACATGTCTTCTCAAAGTGCCATGTACTCAAAGACTGAACCAGTTAATCTGCGGTCCACTCACAGCCCGTCATGCTCTTCATCCAGGGCTCAGACTACCTAACAGCACGGAGATATCTGACAGAAGACAGGGACATGGAGGTGCCTTTGGGAACTTACAATTATGCCATTATGGACACACAGCTGCAATAAGCTTTCACAAATAAATTAGTTTCCACAAGCATTGTATACAGCCACGAAGACAATCCACAGTGAAATAACAAACTATTCACAAAATCTCCAAATCATACCGATACGTTTTAACTCTGCACGTCAGTAGTTAAGGCGTTTGATTAACTCTTTATATTGGAGTACTTAGATCAGCCCTTTTTGCTGCCATAAAGTACCTGTTGGGTGCTAAACACGACACTTATTCCTGTTCCTTCGATGAGTCTTAAATCTCCTTTAATGCACAGGTACCTGTAATCGTAAGTCATCTTACACTTTGCAGACGGCTCAGTGGAAGACTTCATTGCACCTTTACTTTCACGGGTTAAGGGTTAAGTAGAGGGAAGGAAGTGTCCTTCGGCGAATCACTAAGCGACCACAAACTGGAGCAACGCAGTCCCTAAAATGTATCCTTAAGCCTCAGCCGTTAAACACAGATCCACATTCTTTCTTCTCCGAATAACTGACGTGTTAAACAGAAAATCTGTCAAATGTGAGGGACGAAGAATGAGAGAAGACGGAGGAATAACAGTATTAAAACAGAACACGTTAAATGATCTAGTTTGTGTTGTTCCTCGTTTTGTAGAAAATATGCCTGAAGGGAGCACAGCCCTTTCGACCACGGCTTTAGCAGTGAGACTACAAAGAGCTATCCACATAAAACTGTCCTACTCATTAAGGCACTTCCTCCCGTAAGGAGAGGTGACAATTTTACGGTCCCTGCACTTCAACATTCACAGAGACGCAAACTGTTACTGTTACTCTTATCCTATATCCAGGGGAAATTATAGATGAAATAAAAAATAAAAATAAACTAGTGGGTCTGGGCCGTCCTGCTTTACACTTTAACTGATAATTCTTTTAAGATAAATCATTTACATTATCTGTATTTTTTCTGTTCTTCTTTGGAAATCATTTTCTCTGAAGACAAACTAGCCTGCTGTCCTTTCCATAACACTGTCTTGCATGGCAGAATGAAAAATAGTTTCATGACTAATAAACATAAATAAATGTTCAACCAACGAATTTTAATTTCAACATTTCTCAATGAGATATCTTAAATGTTTTTATGCTTTAGAATAAAGACACTTGTCTAAATAAGAAGGCAAAAAATAAAGACAAACGTAACTGGGGAGCAAACAAACAATTTTAAATTAACGTAAAAAAAAAAAAAGACCTTTCTATACGTTGTCTTATTAAAAATGAAGCAAGCCATGCAAACTACTCAAAATGCATAATGAATTTTATACATCATATGTCAAATGAATTAGCATGTCTAACTCAGCGAGAGGGACAGGGGAACCTCTGCTAATTGGCAGTGAAGCTTCATGCATAATTATGGGCCAAGCGTCTTTGCTGTCGCACTAGCCGAATAACGAGGAGAAAAGAGGGAGGGAGGGGGAGGGAGAGAGAGAGAGAGAGAGAGAGAGAGAGAGAGAGAGAGAGAGAGAGAAAAGAAAAACAAAGGCCATGGAAGCTGGCCGAGAAGGGTGGGTGGTGTGGGGAGGAGGGACACTGTTCTTCACAGCAGCTCATCAGGGCAGCGACAAACCCACGACTGTCCATCAACAGCCACACATACCCATAACACGCACGCACACACACACACACACACACACACACACACACACACACACACACAC